CTTCTGACGGTGTCTGCCTCCGCGCACAAAAAATGAGATGGGCATCGCTGCCTACGCCGACGGCCAGAGGCCCGCGCATCTACATTTTTTCGCCTGACCCCATCAGTGCCGACCCAACTACACCACCACGCGCATGCCTCGCGGCGGATATGCGCAGCAGCAAGAAGGTTTCGGTTATCCCTTGAGGGTGAGTCTAGCCCTGCTCGCCAGAAAGACCCCCCCCTTCACTACAACCCATGTCTAAGCAAAAGCTTGTCGAGGAGCGAGGGGAAGAAGGGAGGATGCACTTTAGTGGACAGCATCTACGGTACTATTTACTCTAGTACTACTGTACGCATGTATGCATGTATTTGTACGGCATACATTGCAGCCAATTGCCAACCATGGCACTTCGTCTTTAGACATGTACATTATTAGTGTCGATACAGCGTGATTCGACTCCTAACTACTGCCAACTTTGGACTTTTACAGATATACATTTTGACTACCAACCATGACTGATGTTCAGGTCATACGCCTGCACTTCCCGTCTGCTTGTCGCGCACACCCACACACAAGCTGCAGAGATCATGTACGCCCGGCTGGTCGCCTTCGCGGCCACCCTTCTCCTGTTCGTGTCGACTCCGGCCACGAAGAGGAATCCTCCTCCTCACAAAGCACCTCGGGCACGAAAAAATGATGTGCCCACCCCAGCAACGACCCAATTCTTTGCGTCCAGAACACTCCGGCGGCAACCCTCTCCCTGATGAATCCGTGTTACTCCCCGGAGGTGGTCGCGTCAGGCCGGGCTAGCAGCTGCGCGGGCAAGTCGTCCGCAATGCATACGAACGAAACCGTCTCTGCGAGCGCCAACGCCCTCAACTTATAGTATGTCAGTCAACAGAGGGCGAACAAGAGAGCCAAGCACTCCTCCAACGAAGAATCCCACCGTGCCGGCGATGTCGTGCAAGACACCACCACCACGACTGTTCAACGCTCTGTTCACTCGTCGGACTGCATTTCATGCGACGTTCCGCTGGAGTGTCTATGAGTGGTCTGCGTACTGGTTACGGAGGTGTTTCATTTGTGCACTTGTTTTTAGCGCCGTTTCTGCATTTTATCGAGTGGCGTTTTGTGATTGCCCGACCTCGACATAAGTTCGCACCTTCATTCATTCTCCTCGTCGACCTTCACCAATACCTGGTACATGTATGGTACCCCTGTGCTACACGGGGTTTCATTTTCTTATCTGGTCGGACTGCCTTTAATATTATTTACCGCGTTTATTTCGACTTATTTTCCCGCGTGCGTTTGACTCGGCGGACGTTATTTAGTCCACTTTGCCCTTGCGCGTGTATGACTGATCTTCGCGCCTGGCCTTGCCTGGATTGATTCTGGTTTCTTTTGCGATTTGCCGTTTGGTTGCGGTATTCGTCGCGCTGCAGATATGTGCCTGGACCATCACAAAGAATTTCCACCACATATATCTTCGCACTATTATTGTAACCCATCGGGACTGCCCTCGGTCATTCTCTCCCATACTTGACGATCGGAAAAATAAGTGTGGTTCACGCTTCCCCGTCTACCTGACGAAGCGTAGCGTTGCCGATCCTCATCTGACACCAATGGCTCCCATGGTCGCGGCCGACGGCCACCTGTCGTTCTTCCGCCTCGGTACCCATTCCAACGCCAAGTCAAGAACGAGCATCCAGGGATGTTCACGGTGTGGAACCGCACCGCGGTGCGGTTTTTTGTATGTTGACATGGTCACGATGCGTTTTTTTTCACATGTCGATATTTGACGGTGCGGTGCGGTGCGGTTTTCACCGTCTCCGAATTCGACGGCGCGGTGCGGTGCGGTTTTTTTCGTCTCGTTATTTGACGGTGCGGTGCGGTGCGGTGCGGTGCGGTGCGGTGCGGTTCACCGTCGCACGATTTTTTTTACGGTACGGTTTTTGCTACCCCGTGACAGAAAACGCGCGAACGCGCGAACCTCGACCTTGTCGGCGGTGCACCGCCGAAGAACACCGCGGAGAATACTACGGTTGTCCGTGACAAAATGACGAGGTCTCCATGACTATTGGGGGGGGGGGAATACATTAGGTTTAGTCCATTGAAATGAGGCCGGCACGACAGATCCCGCGGCTTGAGGTCAGAAAACCCGAAAACCCCAGACAAACAAAGGAGAAGTTACTGATCATGTTTTCACTTTTTTTCCAGTCACCATACGTTCCTCGAACACGAGCTACATTCCTCACCTGCTTCTACTACTACTTATATTTTTTTCTCACATCATTGGACTCTGTCGTCTGCCCCTCTGGCCCCTATTCTCCACTTCTACACCGACCGGTGGCCACTTTGCTCTCCCGCATGTTGTTCACGCATTTACTTTCACAAGGTCGCACATATCCCAGGGTTTTCCAGTATAAACATTGACAAGGTGCTTAGGCATCTACCTGTCAGGGTTCCGGGGTTTCTGACACCCTGGGAAACGTGCGACCTTGTGATGGTATGCTTGTAACGCATCTTAGGCCTCTCCTTTCAACTTTCGCAAGGTACCCCGAGAAGCTAAAAACACACACGTTATCAACGACAGAGTAGTACAAGCCCAGCCATACATCACTCGAAAAATATTCATATTTCCGACACGAATGCATACGGCAAGATATGCTTCATCATGCGGATCCAAGTGGACTTCCTAATGGAACGTAAGTGCCGACGAAAACACTAGCTTAATAATCAAGCCACGCGACAAAAAAAGCGCGCGAGAGAAATCCCAACTCATCACCAAAAACTCTGTACTTCAGGAGCAATCCAAGCGACCACCCTTCTTCGAAAGCCGGTGGCAGGCGTGTGTGCTCTCTCTGCACCCGTCGCAATCGAGGCCTCGACGGGGGTCTACTGAGTAAAAGGTCGTTCTCCTTTGGCGGCTCCTTATGGTTCCGCCCTCAAGTCTGCGACGGTCCCCTTTGGTCTGGTGTGTCCTGGACGGTTTGGGAATTGTCCCCAGGGGAAGCACCTGGCGAGAGGTCGAAAACAACGGTACGGCAAGAATTAGGAAAAGAGGGCGCCCACGGCAAGGATGTCGATTAAAAAATTGAGGCGCTGGGTTGCACAGTAGTATAGATAGTTAGATATATGTACCACGCGGGGAACTACCAGCAAGAGAAGGCAACAACGACGACCCGAACATTAAACTTGGAATTGTTGCAAGACTCGGTCGCCGATATTGGTATTGACCTGGTCATGCAACGACTCTTCATCCTCAACCATCACAAACTGATTCAAGAACATGCTCAAGGAGTCGCCAGATCAGATTTCCGCACTCGGCAGGTCGACAAGTAAGTGTGGTTTGATTCGCGCGTTGCTCCATTATTATCTCCTTTTGTAACTCTGAAATCCGATCCTATTGATTTACTATATACATCTTTGTTAGTGCGCACAAAACACGGAAAAACCGTACCGCCATCCAAGGCGTTGCTGTTATGACGCAACTAGTTCTGCCTTGGCTTCACAGGCGTGCCATCGAGACAACGATGTACGTGACAGTCGATCCTACACGTGCTGGAGCTGTTACTATTCCTCGCACTGGCACGCAAGCAATGATATTCCGAATGATGGATCACCTGCTGCGTAGGGAGCAAACCAGAGGAGGGACTTGCTCTTGTCCAGATCCCGCGATGAAGCGCAGGGCGCTGGCCACAACTGCAAAAAAGGGAGTTACACGAAGACATGAGGCAGGCAGTAGCATCATTTGGCAGTGAGGATGTGGAATGCGAATTGCATTGCATGCGACGATTGCCTCTCACGACACCCCGTAAAAAGAGATTAATGTCAATACTACCATACATACATGCACAGCAATGTGCGGCAGTGAGGAGGTCCAGATGAGGCAGGGCTCTCTAACGAAATGCATTACATTGAAGGCGGAAACGTCTACATGCACCTGTGCACTGGCTTCAACGAAAAAGAAGGTAAATTTGATCGTGAACCACACACAAGCAACTTTTCGTCAGGTACTCCATGCTAACGGCTGGTGCCAAGAGAGAGAGGTCAACGAAGCAAATGCATTATCCCCAAAGTGGAGTACTTTTTCACGTGTTGGGCGCGGGAACGCCGGATGCTGCAAACAAGTGAAAACACTTGGCACAATGGTGTCCATTTGTACCAGTGCAGACAGCAGCAGCAGCAGCAGCAGCAGCGCGACCCTACCGCTACGCGCGAAAACACCGCTCGTACCTGCCGGCGCGCCATTCCGCTCGCTGCTCTGCTCAGTAGTACCCTCCAAACGATTCTCCAGAGCCAGGGGAAGGGGGGGGTGCAGGGGGGAGCTTCCTCCAAAGCCCCAAGGGGGACGGTCCCCCCCAGGGGCAGTCGTCGTCGTGTTGATCAGCTCCCGGATGACTCCGAGTCGGACGACGACGACAGCACCGAAGATCCATCGGGCTTCGACACCAACCGCACCATCCGGGAGCTGATCAACACGAAGAAAAAGCTTCCCCAGCCCTTCGCAATCTAGACTTCAGTGGGTTGGCGCTGTTGGCAAAGCGCTGTAAAACACGCCACCCCAAATATAGCCCCCATAGTATGCGCTACCAAAGACGCGTGACGCATGGATGCGTGGAGTGAGGATTGCTTACG